GCTTAGCTGAATCAGATCGACTTGAAATTGTTTTAAAAATTTTTAAGTCGTCTGCATATAAAATAAATTCGGAAAATTTTAAACAATCAGATATATCATTAATAAAAATGATGAAGAGTAATGGACCCAGAATACTGCCCTGTGGGACACCAGAAGAGGCAACAAAAGGATGGGAAGAAACATTATCAACAACAACTACACATTTACGACATGAAAGGTACGACTTTATCCATTTAAAAAAAAAAAATGGAATGAAGCCCAAAGCTCCGCAATTTGGCAATTAAAATTGAATGGTTGACTTTGTAAAAAGCCTTAGAAAAGTCGGTATAGATTGTATCGACTTGGAATCTGTCATTGAAAGCAGACGTACAAAATTCTGTGAATGCAGCAAGATTAGTGATGGTTGACCTGCCAGTCATGAAACCGTGCTGGTTATTAGATATGTGACGCTTTACGGCAAAATACAACTTTTGTTTGATAATATATTCAAACAGCTTCGATGTCGTAGAAAGTTTGGAAATAGGCCTATAATTAGTAACATCTTTTTTATTACCAGCCTTGAATAAAGGTGTGATGGACGTAACTTTCCACGCATCAATAAACTCCCCCGATTCTATCGATTTATCAAAAATTAGCAAAAGAGGATATGTAGGGGCAGGACAATTCTTGAAGAGATAGGATGAGAAACCATCAATATCCACATGCGAAGAGCTTTTAAGGCCCTGAATTCCATCCCAAACATCCTCAATAGACAGCGAAAGAGAGCCAAAGTTAATGGTGGAATTGGTTTTCCTAAAATTATCACTCAGATGTTCCGACGACGAATCAAAGTTAGAACTAAAAAAGTCAGCGAAAAGATCAACTGCCTCCTGGGTGGAGGAAGCATAACTCCCATTGTAAAATACCTCGGAGGGAATATTAGAGCAGGGCTTTTTGGACTTAACGTAAAGCCAGAAAGCTTTTGGATTACACTTAATATCAGACTCAAATTTACGAATATAATTACGCTGCAGTATTTTACTTAACTGTTTGAACTTCTTGGAGTAGCGCAAATATTTATCCCTATACGCTTGGGCACTTGTTAATTTAAATTTTCTTAAGAACTTATTCCTCAAATTTTTTAGCCTTTTTAATTTTCTCGTATACCAAGGAACCCTATAGCACTTCTTGCTAACACGTGGTACGTTTTCGCAGAAGATTTCATACATCTTTGTTTTAAATTTGTCAAAGCATGAAGAAATATCAATTCCAGTAAAAAGGGGATCCCAATCTAATAGAGAAATAACGTTATCTACAATATTAAAATTACAACGTTTAAAGCAGAAGTTATTAATTTCATTATTAACACAAAGACGTTTAAAACTGTAAAATTCTAGACAAATAGTGAGCGGTATGTGATGATTAACAAGAAGATAAAGGATTAAGACATTCATGAAGTGTGAAATGCATGTTATCACTTATGAAGATAAGATCCATAATTCGAAAAAACTTGTTTAAAAACTGTTGATTTGAATAAAATCTAAACTTAAAAAACAATCAACTAAGTAGGACTCCGAAAAGCTATTAATGTTTTTTGGAATTAAGGCATAGTTACTATCTACATATGACCATTCAATACTAGGCAAGTTGAAGTCTCCAAGAACACAAAAGTTGCTACCAGAATGTTTGCAGACGAGAGCCGTTTTGTTGTCAACATATGCTTTGTAGGGACTATCAACACTGAAAGGTGGAATGTAGGACGCACAGATATAGATATTCGTGGTACCTTGTACCACAACGTAAAGTTGGTCCAGAAGTGAGTCCACATTTTCTAAATGAATGAGTGATGAGTGATACCGACGCTGAACAGCGATTAAAATACCACCGCCCCTTGACAATCCAGTTTTAATAAAATCACGATCTTTCCGGTAAACATTAAATAGATTGGAAAATCAGCATTCAACCATGTTTCAATAAGAACGAAGACTTCATAGTCCAAGTGAGTACTCATATTAAAAACTATTCTGGATTTTGTTCTGAGTCCAGAAACATTATGAAAATATATCCTAAGAGACTTGGAAAGAGGTTCACACAGAAAGGAATCAGTTACGGTTTTGGTTGTGCCGGACCTGCTTTCTGAAAAACTCAAACGGACGCACATTAACATCAGCTGGCCAATTCGCAGAGTGGAGAAGAGACGCGTAGTGTATAGATGGAACTCCTATCTTGAAATTGACACGTTTTAACCCTCCGATGAGTGACAGTGCCGATGACGTTAGATTCGTGAGAAGGTCCTTAGGGACCTACAAAGAGTTGCTCGATGTTTCGACTGTACATGTGCAACTTCTTTGGTATTTATGTTGTATTTTGATTAAATTAACGTCCTGCATATATATTAGGAATGAAATAATTTGAAGAACAAGTGAAAAAAAAATCAAAACATGAAGACAAGTAACTTGTTATTTCTTCTAAAATTGTACAAGGTCCCTAGGGACCTTGTCACTAATCCCCGTACTATATATGTTGAAATCTCAATAACACTCGAACGTGATCCCGTATCCCTTCGAAACTTATTTTAAACGATTCAGCTTAATTTATTCTTGGAATACATGTATAAATTCTTTTCAAAAATGCAAGTAACTTGTTATTTCTTCTAAAATTGTACAAGGTCCCTAGGGACCTTGTCACTAATCCCCGTACTATATATGTTGAAATCTCAATAACACTCGAACGTGGTCCCGTATCCCTTCGAAACTTATTTTAAACGATTCAGCTTAATTTATTCTTGGAATACATGTATAAATTCTTTTCAAAAATGCATTGAACAAAAAGATATAGGCACATGAAATACGAAAAGGTCCCTAGGGACCTTCTCACAAATCGAAGGGTTAATGTTTTAACATCTACATCTTTCTTCACCAGCATATGGCAGGATATCAAGCTAGACTCAATGGACGTATTCTTCGAAACATATACGACAATTTTATCAGCGGTGACTGAATTCATAAATGACGACAGGTATATTTTGTTCGTGGTGCAACTTCTAACCCACTACTAGCATTGCAACCAGCAATGGTCTTAAAATTCCGACTGGGGTGGTTGTTATCATTAACAGCAGAAGCAGAAGCATTAGCATTATCACTACGGTGACGGTCCCTTCCTTTTTTTTTGCAGGACCGTACTGTTTTTCATCGTTATTTTAAAATTATGGGACAATGGATGGGTTTTTTCGAAAAAAGTGTTTTTTGGTACTTTTCGTAGCTTTTCTTCAATATCTCATGAAAAAATCTCCCAATCAACGTAAGAGACTAACATATCGAAGGGTCTTGATGTGCCTCTTACAAAATATATAACTTGTGGCGACTTCAATGAAAATTATTAGCTTAGTCGTCAAAGTCGAAAAAAGTGAGATTTTCAATCAAATACGCAGTTTTATTCAATAACTTTTTTCATTAGTTTAAAAATTCGATAAAGGAGATATGTATATCATTACAGTAAATTTTGAGCCAAAGATAATGAAAATCGGATTAGAAATGTAGATGCTATGCAGCCTTTGTAACTCGTCGTTTACGTCGATTCATGCCGTCGATTTTTGTTAAATAACTGCGAAAAGTACCAAACAACAAAATAAAATAATGTAAAAAAAAATATTTTTTAAAAACATGCTTTTATTTAACATGTACAATCAAAGGAATAAAATAAAGTAGTGTAACAAAAGATTTTTTAGCAAGAAAATTTTG